GAACCAGGTGAGACTAATGTCTTTTTCTAAGCATACGTCCCAAAGTGAAGTCTCTTCGACATTAGCAAGGTAATGTGTTCTCATGGTGGCTATAAGACTAGGGGAAAAAATGCATCAGAGGAAGCCATGTCAAAGCAAGATGGAGAGAAATAGAAAGATGGTATCATTTATATTACTTGCTTCCTCCACACCCAGCTTGAAGCTCCCAACTCTTGGAACCTGGCCATATCTTCTAAAGGGCGAAGAGGTTAAGTGTATTTTGTTTGAGGGTTGACTACGCCTTCTAATACAGCAAAGGAATAAAAGCTACAAGAGTTGTTTCTTATAAAAATACACTCATCTCCCCTTATTCTTAGAAAACCCCAGCCTGCCGTGAGGTTAGTTATGAATCCACCTGCACTTTCTTTTAGAACACATGAGAATTCTCTTGGTTTCTGTGTTGGAAATACAGAAAAAAACATGTCCATTTGGCTTCTGTAATGATATCTTATTACAGTGGGTCAATGGCTATATCTGAAAAAACCAGTTTCGTTCTGTTTAGAATATCCTTGTGGTTTTAGTATAAATTAATTCAAAGCTAGTTTCATGATTAACAACTTTGTTGGGGTGGTAAGAATCCAAAACTCTGCTACTTACGCCTCACATCCTGCAGCCCCCTTTTTCATTTTAAATATATTTGTTGTCCCTTATCTCAACGTTGGAGGAGACACATGATCCTTTTTCACTCTGCCCGCATATGTGGTCTACAGACTAGTCATTTGCTTGTCAGAGAGGACACCACCCATAGGTGCACAGACTGAACCTAGCATTACAAAGATTTCTTCCTGTTGATCTGGGGAACGGCTTTAGTAAGGCATAGGTTTTCAAGTGGAATGTTTGGTTGCCCATGGGTGTTCTGGGAACTACTGCCACCTGTTTTTGTATATTAAACTTTTTGGGGCTTCCCTGTTTATTCCGTTGCTTGTGGTTCCTGAGTGCTTCCTCACTATGCACTGCACACTAGAATAGTCACAGCAGAGACTGTATGGCCTGCAAAGCCTCAAATATTTACTTTATAGAAAAAGCTCCCTGACCCCTGCTCTATGGAATTCTTTGTTTTACAAACATTTTGTGTTTTATAGAGTGCCCCAAGGTAGAACATGAAAGCAGTTTTCTCCTGAAGTTTCTGATTTTAGCAAATCATCCTCCCAAGGTGGTGATAGAGTTGTGAGGACACACTTTGAGTCCCTTGGGTGACTCTCCGTGGCTGCCATGTTACCCAGGAGAGGGGCAGCCCATGTACCTGTCATCTGTGAGCACCAGCTCCGACCTGAGCAACAAGTTTGAGAAATCATGCCTGTTTGGAAAGGTCATGAGACTTAGTAATTTTTGCAAGGAAAGTGGGAAGGGATTGAATCACAGTGGGTGTCCATGGTTATCCAGTGTTGGTGGGGAGATAAAATGCCCCAAAGTCAGCCTTGTTGAGGTTCCCTTCCAGGCAGATCCCCAGACTTGCTGGCATGGATGTCTCTTGAACACACATAGAAAATTCTCTATTTACATTATTATAGCAGGCACATGGACTGGCCTGGGGACTTTGGAAATCTAAATGACTAAAATTTTACAGCCTACCCAAGAACATAGTTTTGTCAAGGGGTAGTTTCTGACAGGCAGCTTTGACCTTTTATCTTAAGCCATGTTATTATGTTATCATTCTGTTCCCTTCTCCCCATCAGTAAATTCCATGGCAGGGTCTAGTGCCAAGTGACACTTCCTGTTGTGTTATAAAGGTAGCATCTCTTCATACATTTTAATCTGCTTTTTAGTTTACATGAAATAAAAATGCTGTGTAATTTATATTAAAGTCAGTATTTCTTCTGATAGAAGAAATATTTATTTTAAACAATTGTAACTTCAAAAAGGATAAAATTCATGTGTGTTAACTGGGAAAATGCAAATAATATGAAAGAGTATGGAATAAAAAAATTAAAAATCTTACCCCCTCTACCCCTTCTTATTCTACTATATAGATTTATATATTAAAGTTTATCCTTGTAGTCCTCCCCGATGTGTTGAATCTGATTTAAACTTCCATTTCCTAGTTTGACTTGCCATCTCTGTGGCCATCCTATTAGAACTGTAGGGTTCTACCTGGGTAGGAAAAGCTCAGGCCTTTTGGGGAGAATTAAAAGCAAGCCTTGATCATTTCACATGATCATGGGGGTGGCGTTGCACAATGGAAAGGACAGGATTGGGAAACAGACTGGCTTGACTTGAAATTGAACTTGAGTTCTTTGGCTCTCTGTATACCGTTGGGCAACCTGACTGTGTTCTTACCTATAAAGTGAGGACGCTCAAATCTCCCTCACGGCATGGTTGTGAAGCTTAATGACACAAGGAAACACAGATGTGCTCTGCTGGAGAAATTTAGTCAGTTGGGGGAGACAGAATATACAAATATTATGAAGCAGGTGGGATTAGCAGGGGACTGCCCAGCGCACTACATCATGGGGCAGAGAGTTGGGGCGGGGGTGGGGAGTGATTGCCATGTTGAACCCCAGAAGATCAGTGGGAGTTTTCTGGGATATCTGGAAGGGGTGAAGGCATGAGAGTAGAGGGCCTACCTGGGCAGAGCTTAGGCAGTGTGGCAGAGTGTGGTGTGGGTAGGAACACAGCCAGATCCTGAGATGGTGTAGCCCGTGGTCTCACTTTCATCCAGGGCAGTAACCCCTCAATAACCCAAACTCTAAGCTGCTCCCCCTTCCAGCCTCTGTTCCTTTGCACATGCTAGTCTTTCTGCTTACACTATCTTTCTCCTTTTACATTCTTGGCTAAATGACACCATCCTTTAGGTCTCAGCTTAAGTGCCGCTTTCTCAGTAAAGCCTTCCCTGGTGACATCATCTCCTCACCTCCCATTGTTGTTTAATCCATATCACCTCATAAGCTCCAAGTCTGCTCTGGATGCCATTGTGTGTCCTTTCCTCTTCCAGCATGTGGCATGTGGCAGGAGCACCTTAAATATTTATTGAGTGAACGCATACATGACTGAATTTCTGCCTCCCCATATATAAGCCCACCCTATCTTTACAATCAAATCCCCATAAACACTCTCTATATAGTTTCCTGTGACTACTGTAAGGAATTACCACACACAAGGAGGCTCAACACACAGAAATTTATTTTTTTTTAAAGATTTATTTATTTATGCATACAAGAACGGGGATGCAGGCCAGAGGTGTGTGGGGGTGAGAGGATTCACCAGAGACAGAGTGGAGACCAGAACAGGCAGATTGACTGAAGTACACTGCTGAGGGGAACATTGGGCGAGACAGGAGAGGTCTGCTGCGCCATGTGGGTAACTCCCTGGCCGGGGATCAAACTCATGCTGCAGTGGCTGCGGTTAGCTCCATAGGTCGCGTCTTAACTTCTTGCGCCACCAGGGAGGCCCAGAACTTTATTCTTTCACAATTCTGGAAACTAGAATCTGAAATCAGGGTTGTAGGCAGGATCTCACTTTCTCTGGAGGCTCTTGGGAAAATCCCTGCTGGTCTCTCCCAGTTTCTGGTGGCTCCTGGTGTCCCTCCACTGGGGGTGTCTCGTCACCCCAGTCTCTGCCTCCATCTTCACATGGCCTTTTCCTCTGTGTGTTTGTGTGTGTCTTCTCCTGCCCCTTAAAGGACACTTGAATTTGGGGTCCACTCAGGTAATTCAAGGAGATCTCAAGAGTCTCAGTTATATTTATGAAGAACCCTTTTTCCAAATGAGGTCACATTCACAGTTTCTAGAGGTTCTAGAGGTTGGGACATAGCTTATTGGCTGCAACAATTTAGCACACTCCACCCTCTGTGAGCCTGTCCCTCAGCTGATCTGGGCTGGTTGCCATTTCCTGACTGACTGTCTCCTATTTCTTTATCCTTTGTGCGTGCCATTGTCACACCTCTGTGTCCTTCTTTTCAGAACACTTGACATGCCCCTGTCCTCCCCTGCCTTCAGGTGACCCCCCCTTGCCCCCGCCCATTCCAGGTGAAAGGAGCTTCCTTCCCCTTGGAAACCCGCTTCCACTCACCGTGCATGTCTCTCCCCTCCCATGAGAGTCCCTGCGAGGGTTAGCTCCTCAGTGATACCACGTGGGACTTGAGGCCTGAACTTCGTGTTCTTGCTTCCTCATATTCCCTGCAGGGCTAAAGATGTTAGTAGAGATGCAGGGACTATTTATGGATGATAAGAAGTATCCAGAAAGTGGCGTCAGACTTACACTATCAAAATAAAGGCAAATAGTGACCATGCAGCCATCATCACTGTTTGGGTGCTTCATACACATGTGTGTATATGAACTCAGGGGGTTACATTTTTTTGGCAGGGAGCAGGTGTAAACTCCAATGAGCCTATGTAATAAATGGGGGTGTAATAAATAATAGACAAGCCCAGGGACATGAAGAGTCTGGAATCCATGGATAGACTGACGAGAAGGTCACAATCAAGGTCCTGACCTCTTCCCTCCTGGGCCATAGCATCTCTTATCTGAACTGTGGAGTAGCTGAAATGTCATAGACTGACCCGGGTCACTGGTGAAGCTGTCAGGGCTGTCATCTGTAGTGGACCTTTGGGCATCCTGCCCCTTCCTCTCCATCTTACTGCCAAACAGCATCCCCCACCAGCCCCTCATAGCTTCTCTGTCTGCCCCAAATCTCCAGCCTCCGCTGATTTGCCAAGTCTCCAACTCCAGCCTCCTCTGATTCACCAAGTCTCCAGCCTGACTGCTTGGCTTCCAGTTTGAGGGTCTGTCTTCATCATCCAGTTGCCTTGGACCTGCCAGGTCCCAGCCTTCCACTCCTCTGTGTGGACTGCATCGGACAGGGGTGGGGGCGGGAGGGAGAGGAGAACAGAGCCTCCCCTTTCAGGGCCTGTGCTTGGTCAGGTGCTCTTGGGGCGGGGGGGATATAGGTAGAGGCCATGATACACACATCTGGTCCAGTATGGAGGTTCCAAATCACCTAATGTTGGCATCTTATTTTTCAGATTCATCCTGTTCTGTGCTGAAGATGTTTCCAGAACAACAAAAAGAGGTATGTCATCATGAATCCCAAAATAATCATGTACAATTGCTATTGATAACCAAGGGCCTTTGTCTGGCCTCCACCAATTAATCCCACACAAATTTTGAAAGAGCCAATAACTAGTTTCAAGCCAGGATCGTTTATTGTGGATCACACAATAAGAGAAGGGTGACAACTGCCCTGAGCACACTCTCAGCAGGGGGTCCTGGTTGTATGGGGTTGACCATGAAACCATAGCCAAGGTAGCAGGGAAGCAGGGTATTGGCTAACCAGGGTTTTTATACAAGAACCGGGGTACAGACCAGATGCATGGGAGGGTGAGAGAATTCACCAGAGACAGAGTAGGGAACAGAACAAGCAGACTGACGAAATACACTGCTGAGGGGAGCAGTGGGCGAGACAGGAGAGGTCTGCTGCGCCATGTGCGACTCTCACCAGTCGGCCGAGATCGAACCGGCCCTGCAGAGGCTGTGGACAGCTTCACAGCGTGGCGCTCAACTGCCTGCGCCACCAGAGGAGACCCAGGGTTTTGTGGTTTTTAACAGCAGGAAGGTAACAAACTGGGACCAGGGTTCCAGATACTCTGTCATACCTTGATGCACTGCCATTCATACACCATAAATCTGTGGTGGAGACTGCAGAGCATTCCAGGGGAGGGCTAGTAAAAGAATAGAAACCCTGCCCTCCTGCCCCACTGCTCCTACTCTCTAGCACTGGTGCATTCTTGGCCTCAGTTTTGGTTTCAGTGACTGTTCCATCTCTCATTTCACTCCTACCCACTGTTTATAAAAGCATCTTCTTCCATGGCTCAGAATTCTCTCAGGGCTGCATCCCACCCTTTGCTTTGCATAGCCTTCCCTGACCTGCTTGCTTGTTGTTCTGCATCCTGGCCTCATACCTGCTCCCACCTCCACTAACAATCCAGGGAAGCCATCAGGCCCAGTGTTGCTGCTTGTTCCTCTCAAGTCTCTTGACTGGTTTCACGCAATTCCCTTCCCTAGTCTCAGTTCACTTCACCCAAGTTTAAAGCCTTAAACAACCCATTTCAGAGACTTCTTCCAGAAACTTCTTTGCTAGATCTCATATCCTTTCTTTCAGCCCTATATTTGGGTTCAGGTTCTCCTCAGAAGTTCAGCCCACATCTATCCTTTAATGTTAGTTTGGGCACCCAGCTATTCAAAGGCAGTGTTTAAGGTTTTTTTTTTTTAGACTATTTTTTAATTGGCCTATAACATGTACAGTAAAATAAAAAACTGTCCTAATCTTACATGAAAGCTTAGTGGATTTTTTCTTGCGTATCTACCTCTGTAACCACCATTCAATTGAAGTATAAATGTTCGTAGCACCCCAGAGGGTCCCCTGTGTTTCTTTCAGTCAGTCCCTGAAGGTGGAGACCTCCCAGAAGCAACCCCAGGCAACACTAGGACCAGGTATACCACCCTCCCTCCCCAATTCTGAATCAAACAATTCTGGGGCCAAGCTGCTAACTCCAGGAAATACCTGTTCCAAACAGCAAGTCCCCACAATAGTGCCCTCACTTCTGATGCCCCTTGCTGGTTTGAGGAGTCTCCAAATCATCCTCATTTTTGATGGTTCATGAGAAAGATTTACAGAAATCACTGAAAGCTACTGGACTCATAGTTGTGGTTTATTTCAGGGAAAGGATACACATTAGAACCAGCCAAAGGAGGAGACGCGTAGGACAGAGTTGAGGAAGGTTCAAAAGTGAAACTTCTGATCATCTTCTCTTTATGGAGTTAGTCTCCTGGCATTAGTGTGTGATAATATGCACAGGGGAGCTCACCTGAGCCAGAGGTTTTATTGGAACTTTTTTTTTTTTAAGATGTATTTTTTATTTATACAATAGCTGGGGTAAAGGCCAGAGGCACGGGAGGGTGAGAGGATTCACCAGAGACAGAGTGGGGAGCAGATCAGGCAGACAGACTGAAAGCATTGCTGAGGCAAGCAGCGGGCATGACTGGAGAGGTCTGCCGTGCCATGTGGGAATCTCCCTGGCTGGCCGGGATCGAACCAGTGCTGCAGAGGCTGCGGACAGCTTCATAGCGCTGTGCTCAACCCTCTGTGCCTGCGGGGAGGCCCTGGAGCTCATTTGAATACTGTGTGTGAGATTGACCTTTGGGCCCCTGGTGATCGGGCTAAAATTTTCAGTTTCCAGTTCCTCCAGAGGAGGAACTGTGCCAGGGTTGTCCCAAGCCCTCATCAAATTCACACAGTAAAACTGTCCAATGATCAAAATCCCAGCAAACAAAGACATATTCCTGTCAGGCAGGACTTTCAGGGTCTTAGAAGGCACCTCCCAGTGGCTGAGAGCAGGGGCTGGAACTCCCTTTGGATAAGGTCATTCTTCACTACACACCTGCATCAGCCTGACTGCTGGGCAGACTTGGCCAAGGGAACAGGTTGTGCCCACTGCTGCAAGGCACGTTTTAAAGGTTGTTCTCTTGGGGGCGGAATATCCAACAAAAGCAATGAAGACTTTTTTCTAATTAGAACAAACTTTTATTTTGCTTGCTTGGTTTAATCACTTTGTTTTTATTATGATCTCATTTGAATTAATAAAAATTATACATGAGTTTTAACAAACTACATAAAGGAGCAATTTATTGACCTTGCAAAAGTCCTTTGTTATAAATACATACACAGCACGGGGCCTCCCTGGTGGTGCAGGGTGTTAAGATGCAACCTGTGAAGCTGTCTACAGCCACTGCAACACGAGTTTGATCCCCAGCCAGGGAGATGACCCACATGACACAGCAGACTTCTCCTGACTCGCACACTGCTCCCCTCAGCAGTGTATTTCAGTCAATCCTCCTGTTCTGTTCCCCACTCTGTCTCTAGCGATTCATCTCACTCCCTGCACTTCTGGCCTGTATCCCAGTTCTTGTATGCATAAATAAATAAATCTTTTAAAAAAATAAATACATGCACAGCAGTATTATAGCATTAGGAAATTTTAAAGTAGAAAGTCATTCAAATGAAAAGAAAAAATACTGCGTTTAGAAAAAAGGTATAATTAGTAGAAATTTACTTTAACCTCTATAGTAAGGAAGAGCTAACAAGAGCAGATTCTGGGTATACTGTAATATTCTACTCTTGGTCACATGTCAGACCAACTTCTACATGTGGCCCTAATGTTCTGACTTTCAACCCATCACTCTTAAAGTCAAAGCTCCTAATTGTTTCTAAGGATTTAGAAGAAGTTCTTAGGTTTCTAAAGCTCTGTGTGATCTGACCCAGCTTCTTTCTCCTGGCTCATCTCCTGCCTTTCCCCCAGCCAGGTATACTTCTCACTCCTTAATTTGGAGCTTGTTTCAGAGTCTTGAATGAGTGCTGTCTGCACTCCGGGCCCCTGAGCTTCCACAGATGTTTTCCCCATGGCCTGGAATAATCTCTCTTCCGCAGCCTTTATGCCATGCTGAATGGCTCATTCGACCTTAACCTTCAGGCCTCAGCTTAAAAGTCAAGAAGAGGCTTTCTGAATATCTCAATTATAATAGATATTTTTATCTCACCGCCTACCCCAACAGCACCGTATAGTCAGGGCCAGTTTGAAGTAGAGGAAGGTTTGGTTGTGCCCTTAAATATCCTAGTGACTGACTGTTGTTTAGTGGGAAATGATTCAGGTCAACTTAAGTGCCTATGTAAGGGCCAAATGCAGTATCACTGATTGTTCTAGACCAAGGGGGTGGTGTGTGTGTAAGTACTTTCCACTAGGTACACACAGCAGACTTTGCCATTTTATCATGAGGTTGGCATGTGAGTTGAGACCTATTTACTATCTTTGTTAAGATTCAAATGACCTGGGAGTGACATCTTGGTTGCATCAAACTGGTAGTGCCAGCCTAGAAGTTTGGTAATTCTTTCTTTCTTTCTTTTTTTTTAAGATCAGGGGGTAGGAAATCAAATGCAGTTTCTCTTGTTAAAATAGCTTTATTACTATAATAAATCTGGAGAGAGGAGAACAGGGAGTGAGAGTCTCCCTTGTTAGTTAAACATGTTCCATTTGCACATTGGTTTGAATTCCCAGGAGAGCAGTATCCACGCTGATGGATCTTCCCCATAAAAAGGCCTTGGCATTGGGCCATTGTAAAATGAAAATGAATTCAGATTCATTCATGCATGCAACTTTAATTTACAATTAAAATATTATGGTTACATATTTTAATAAGAATAATTAGATGGGCCCAACTGAATCAACTCTTCTGTTTAATGAGACAGAACCCAGACTCCTAATGAAAAAGCAGGTGGCTGTAACAGGAAACACATTTTAGTCAGTGTCCTCTGTGGAGTCAGGCATTTTTTTGCTCTTTTTACATTCTAATAGGCTAGCGACCACTTTGATTTTTCTGCATTACTAAGGAGTCTTGCCTTTAACCCCTTTGAACTCATTTCTGAAGATGTGTGAATACACAGTTAACTCCTGCTGGACAGAAAATTACACAGAACACAGTATTCTAGCCCCTCCATGAAACTGTTCCTCTGCTCAGAGCTCACTTGATGTAAATGGGACAGTCCCTACCAATTTTATGTGACTTGAAAGGTAAAACTCCTTTTGTGTGTCTGGTGGAGTATTAGGGGGGTGGGGAGGTAAATATCCCCTTCTCTCCTGGATCATGATCATCAAATTCTATTGTTAGAGATGGCCATATCTAGGATAGGAGATTCTTCACCCTTCAAAATGTACATACTCCATAGTGGATATAATAGCAACCTCCAGTTCTTGACCCTTCAGTGATCATAAAGCCATCAGCACTGTGACAGGGAAAGCCTGGAGTGTAGAGGCCAAGTCTCAGGGGTGTTCAAGGTGCCCCAAGAACCCTGTGCTGAGGGAGGGGCTGGGGCCCCAAGGGAGAGATGGGGAAGGATAGGCTGCTGTTTTGCATCTGTTGCCTCTAAGCTTTACATTTACATGTTCAAGAGACCTGGTCAGACTAATGGTAGGTAGTACTTGGACTTGTTCTTGGGATAGCATGGTTTTGATACTGGGA